CCCCAAAACCCCAAAACCCCAAAACCCCAAAACCCCTGGTTAAATGTTACGTATTGAAGATTTTTAAGATTTGAGGGAAATATGGAATCTATTCCTGATACTTTTAAAGCGGTTTTAGTTAATAAAGGAAAAGTTTATGTTGAGGAAGTTGAAACTCAGCCTCTGAAGGAAGGAGAGGTTAGGGTTAGAGTGGAGGCAACTCCTGTTAATCCTAGTGATAGAATGGTTGTGGAGGGAGTTTATGGGATTAAGGAGCTGTTGAACCCTCAGCCTACTGGGATGGGGTTTGAAGGAGCTGGAGTTGTGGTAGAGGTAAGAAGTTGGGAGATGGTGATCATTTTATAGGTACATGAATCAGTAGGAGAAGATTTGATAGGAAAGACTGTAGCTTTGTCAGATAATGCTCATCGTCCAGAGTATCAAGGAATTTGGAGACAATATATTGCCAAACCAGCCCAATCTATAATTCCAATACCAGATGGTATTGAGCCATCCCAAGTATGTGCTGCCTATGTCAACCCACTCACTACTATCTTGATGATCAACCAAGCCAAGAAGTTTGGTCACAAAGCTCTCATCCATGGTGCTGCTTGTTCAGCTCTAGGTAAAATGCTTGTCAGATATGCAAACAAATTAGGATTTCCAGTGATCCATGTTGTCAGAAGACAAGAACAGGTTGACATTCTCAAAGATATTGGAGCCGAACACATCTTGGATTCATCTACAGAAACATTTGATGAAGACCTCAAGAAGTTGTCATCTGAGTTAAATGCCACTGCATACTTTGATCCGATTTGTGGATCATTCTGCACAAGAGTTCTGACTCAGATGCCAGCCGGATCAACTGCTTATGTGTATGGAGCATTGTCAGGTGAACCAGTCACATTGAGTCCAATAGACATCATCTTTTACCAAAAGTCTGTCTCATATCTCTACTTGTCAATTTGGATGAAAGAAGCTACTCAAGAAGAAATCAAAGAAGCTGTTGGAACTGTTGTAGAAGACCTCGTTAAAGGAGGAGAGATCTTTGGTTCAAAAATCTACGAAACCTATTCTCTCGACAATGTCAACGAAGCGATCGAAGCAGCTGTAAAAGACGCTACAAAGGGCAAGATATGTATTAACCCTCAACTTTAAAATTCAAGACTCATAAATCTTTGCCCTAATTTCAACTATCATTTACTATTCCGGGGTTTTGGGGTTTTGGGGTTTTGGGGTTTTGGGG